CTTTTCAATTTGGAACCCTTTTAGTTTTCTTCCTGTCTGATTGCTGTGGCTAAGACTTCCAGTACTATGTTAAATAAGAGTGGCGAATGTGGGCATCCCTGTCTTATTCCTGTTCTTAAGGGAAATGCTTTTAGTTTCTGCCCATTGAGTATGATGTTGGCTGTAGGTCTTTCATATATAGCCTTTATTATGTCGAGATATGATCCCTCTATTCCCAGATTGCTGAGCATTTTTATCAGAAATGGATGATGGATTTCATCAAAGGCTTTTTCAGAATCTATTGATATGATCATGTGGTTTTTATTCTTCATTTTGTTTATGTGGTGTATCGCATTTATTGATTTATAAATATTGTACCAGCCTTGCATCCCTGGGATGAATCCCGCTTAGTCATGGTGAATAATTTTTTTGATGTATTGCTGGATTCGATTTGCTAGTATTTTGTTCAGGATTTTGGCATCTATGTTTGTCAGGGGTATTGGCCTGTAGTTTTCTTTCTCTGTAGTGTTTTTTTCTGGTTTTGGAATTAGAGTTATGCTGGCCTCATAAAACGAGTTTGGAAGTCTTCTTTCTTCTTGAATTTTTTTAAATAATTTGAAGAGAATGGGTGTTAGTTCTTCTTTGAATGTTGGGTAAAACTCCCCCGTGAAGCCATCCGGGCCTGGGCTTCTGTTTGCTGGGAGAGTCTTGATTACCTCTTCAATTTTCTTAGTTGTTATTGATCTGTACAAGTTTTCTATCTCTTCCCGGTCCAGTTTTGGGAGACTATGTGTTTCTAGAAGTTTGTCCATTTCGCTTAGATTGTCAAATTTGTTGCCATATAATTGTTCATAATATTTGTTAACAATCTTTTGTATTTCTGTGGTGTCTGTTGTTATTTTTCCTCTTTCATTTCTGATTTTGTGCAATTGGGTTCTTTCTGTTTGTTTCTCGGTGAAGTCTAGCTAAGGGTCCATCAATCTTGTTTACCTTTTCGAAAAACCAGCTCTTTGTTTCATTGATCCTTTGAATTGTTTTTTTGGTCTCTATGTCATTTATTTCTGCTCTGATCTTTACTATTTCCTTCCTTCTACTTGCTCTGCGGTTTTTGGGTTTTTGTTTCTTTGTTTGCTTTCTAGTTCTTTAAGTTGTGAGGTTAGATCATCTATTAGAAATAATTCTTGTTTCTTGAGGGAGGCCTGTAGTGCTATGAACTTCCCTCTCAGAACTGTTTTGCTGCATCCCATAGATTTGGTGTTGTTGTGTGTTCATTTTCATTGTTTTCCAGGAAGTTTTTAATTTCTTTCTTGATCTCCTCGGTAACCCATTGGATAGAGCCTTTCAATATTATGTAGTGGCCTTCTTTGTCTCTAGTTATTGCCTTCATTTTGAAATCTATTTTATCAGATATGAGTATTGCTACCCCAGCTTTTTTTTCCTTTCCGTTTGCTTGGAAGATTTTTTCCCATCCCTTCACTTTCAACCTATGTGAGTCTTTTGTTGTGAGGTGGGTTTCTTGTAAACAACATATAGATGAGTCATGTTTTCTTATCCAATCAGCTACTCTGTGTCAATCCATTTACATTTAAGGTGATTATTGATATGTACTTATTTATTGCCATTTTTGTTTAGTGTAGTTCTAATTTTCTTCCTATTTCTTCTACTAATTACAGCAGCCCTTTTAACATTTCTTGCAGTGCTGGTTTCTTGCTAATGTATTCCCTTAGCCATTTTTTTTGTCTGGGAAGCTCTTTATTTGACCTTCTATTTTGAATGATAGCCTTGCTGGGAAGAGTAGTCTTGGATTCAGATCCTTGTTTTTCATGACCTTGATTACTTCATGCCATTCCCTTCTGGCCTGTAGTGTTTCTTGTGAGAAGTCAGCTGAGAGCCTTATGGGGTTTTCTTTGTAGGTAACCTGTTGCTTATCTCTTGCTGCTTTTAGGATTCTCTCTCTGTCCTTAATTTTTGGCATTTCAATTACTATGTGTCTTGGTGTTGGCCTGTTTGGGTTCTTCTTAAGTTGGGGCTCTCTGTGTTTCTTGAACTTGAATGCCTTCTTCCTTCACCAAATTAGGGAAGTTTTCTGTCACTGTTTCTTCAAATATATTCTCTAACCCTTGGTCATTTTCTTCTTCTTTGGGTACTCCTATGATGCGAATATTACTACATTTCCAGTTGTCCCACAGTTCTCTTAAGCTGTCTTCCTGTTTTTTGGTTTTTTCCTCACTCGAGGACATTTTTCTATTTTTTGTTCAGGTAGAGTGGGAGGGAGAGAGAAGTAGAGAGAGAGAGAAAGAGAAATATCAACGTGAAAGGGACACATTGAGTGGCTGTCACCCGCACAACCAACCAGGGCCAGGGACAAACTGCAACTGAGGTACGCGCCCTTAGTGGGAACTGAACCTGTGTTTCTCTGGACCACAGGCTGATGCTGTAACCACTGAGCCAAACCGGCCAGGGCTGTCTTCCTGTTTTTTAATTGTTTTTTCCTTTTGGTTTTCTGATTGGTTGATTTTTTTTCTACCCTGTCTTCTAATTCACTGATCCGGTCCTCAGCTTCCTCTACTCTGCTGCTTAGTCCTTCCCATGTGTTCTTCTGCTATGTCATTCTTCATTTTTTCTTGGTGGTTTTTAATTTTCAGTTGGTTGATTTTCAATGTTTCTGTGTCTTTACTCATGGTGTTGATCTCTTTACTCATGCTGTTGAGCTTCCTCAAGATCATGGCTCTGAATTCTAGCTCTGTTAACTTGCTTAACTGCATTTCATTTATATCATCTTCGGTAGAGGTCTCTTGTTTTTTTATTTGGGGTTTGTTTCTTTGTTTCACCATTTTGTCTATCTCAGTGGGCTTTAGAGGCTGCCAAATTTTCCCTGTGGGTGTTGGTGTTTTTCTGTTTGTGGCTCCCTCTACTTGGTTTGGATGAGCGTGGGAGGACCAACGTTAAACACCACTGTCAAGTCTTAATTTCCTGGGTAGAGTGCAAGTCCAGGAATGGTTCTTTTAGCTTTTTGCATGGAGGCTATTAGTAGCGCTTACTTGAAGAGCCTTGGTTTCTCAGGTGAATGAAAAACTCCCTCAGGTGCATGAAAAACTCCCTCAGGTGCTCAGTGTAAGGGGATTTCCAGAGGGTGGGGCAGATGGTGGTTGTTAATGCGCCTCAATTTACATTTCAGTGGCCCACCTGGTGGGGTTAAATCTACGAGGGAGGGGCTGTGGCCTCTCCCCAGAGCCCTGAGAAGGAGTAAGGTGACCACTATCCTGTGTGGCTGAAACTCAGCAAAAGCTCTAAGCACCCTTCAAATCCCGAGTGTCCCCACATTGTTCCAGTCCAGTATGCCCTCCCTCTGCCGGAGCCCAAAGGGAGTGGCTGTGGCTGTTTTAGCGTCTGTCCCAGCTCTGCGCTGTGTAGTCAATTGGGAGTTTAACCCCGAGGGTGCTGCTCACAGCTAAGACCACTGCTGTCCATGGGCTCCCAGCCCCCCTCTCGCGCCTCCACAATCCTACCAGGATCGATCGGTGTCCCTGGTCACTATGGTGCTCAAAAGCTACTTTTCTGTTGCTTTTCCCCTACGATTTGTCTTTATTTTAGTGGTAATTCCAGTTTGGTCCTGGGAGATGGTCTGTGTAGCTTCCATTCACTCTGCTGCCATTTTGGAATCTAGTTGACATTTTTTACCAATCAGTTATTTGCAACTATTGCTAAGCATATTGGTGGGATTTTTATTCCTCTTCTGCCAGGGATCACAATTATTTGTTCAGTCTATGCTTCTAGAGTAGATTAGCATCTCACTTATTTATGAATTAGTTATTTAAAAAGAAGTTGTGGTAGACCAAATAATTCTCCACCCAACGTATATTCCTGTCCTAATCCCTGGAATCTGCAAATGTCATTTTATATGGTATAAAGTACTTTGTATGGAAAAAGAGACTTTACAGATGTGATTAAAGATCTTGAGATGAGGAAATTATCTAGGATTACCTGACAATTTTCCAATCTAATCAAAACAGTTCTTAGGAGAGGGGTACAGAAACCAGATATCCCATGATCGGGACCAGTGGTTCCCAAAGCGTGGTCCCAGAGTAGTAGCAGCGTCAGCATCACATCGTGACTTGTTACAAAGGCAGATTCCTCAGCTGTGCTCTAGGGGTCCTGAATAGGAAATTCTGGGCATGAAACCCAGCAATTCACGTTTAACAAGCCCTCCAGGTGATTCTGATACATGTTAAAGTTTGAGAATCACTGATCTACACTAAGTTTTGTCCTCTCTGATAGAACTAGCTTGAGGCTATAATGCTGGGAAAGCTCACTCATGGCCTGTCAAAGGTCGTTTGCAACTGCTTCCTTTCTGCCTGAGTGTTATCAGACTGTGATCACTTGAACAGCTTAATTGAAATATCACTTATGTTTTATAGCTGAAATTAAATATGTTTTGTATTTAAGTAACCACTTTTGATTAGAATCATATTTTGTTGAAAGTGTTGGTTTTTTCTGTGTGCTGTAAAAATATTTACAAAATCTCATCAAATTTCTAGCAGTAACTTACATTCTATTCATTATGAAGTGAAAGTTTTAACATGAAATCTCATGCTGTGTAATAGCCAATCAAAGGGTATTTCAAAGAGTATTTAAGGTGGCTAAATGGATTTCCTGGCTTTGTATTCAAAATTAAACATTGTAAGATATTAGCATTTAATGCTTTTTATTTTTTATTTTTTTACCTCTTCTCAAAGTTGATTTTATGTAATCCTCATTGTTTGCAACTCCTGAAATCTTGCTTCAGCAACAAATAGCAATACTTTCTCATCCTTATGAATTTACTGAAATCTCCATTGTTTGAAAATGCTTTAGCTTTATGGAACATGTCACTTTAGCTGTGTAAATACTAGCATCTATTATTTAAGAAGACAAAACAGCTTTGTTTTGGTAAAAATATATCATTGATTTCTGAAAAACCAGAAGAAAGAGCTTATTTCATTGTGCTCCTATTTGACAAGTGATCTTGTGGTTCCTTTTAGGTATTCAGTAGGAAAAACACTCTCCCATCTTCGTCTATGGAACTGGATGGTTCCTACTTGAGTGTAGCCAAACCACAAACCTGCTATCAAACCAGACAAAGGCCTACTAAGACTGCAAACCAGGACTTGGCTGCCAAATCCCTTGCAGAGTTCAGGAATAATTCTTGGAAACCATCAGCCCTTCATAATCCCAAAGAGGATCTAGACAGGGTGCTTTTAGAGACTAGAACATGTGATTATGGATCCCCAGGGAACAAACCAGCAGTTACAGTCTCTACAGAGAAAGTTCCATCAGAGGAATTGAAGATGAAGGAATGCCAACACCTTAAACCTACTCCATCTAGACTGTGTTGTGGTCGTAGACTTTCGGAAAATGCAGATCATGTTCATCCTACAGAAATGGCCCCTCAGTATTCCAAGGCACACCCAGAATCGTGCCATTATTGTGGGCGTTTCTGGGCATCTCTGATGCATGGCCAAGGGGTGCTGCAGCCCAGTGAAACTGACTTCAAAAAACTACTCTCAGAAGATAGAAGGCAGCAACTTATGCTTCAAAAAATGGAGCTGGAAATTGAAAAGGAGCGCCTTCAGCATCTGCTGGCCCAGCAGGAGACAAAGCTTCTTCTAAAACAGCAGCAACTTCATCAGTCTCGCCTAGACTTCAATTGGTGAGTCCTACCTGTTCTTTCAACAGTGTCTATAGCTTGGAGAACACAGGAAACAGTGACTGCCGTGTCACTGTGACAAATGTGTAGGCACAGAGGTTCCTCAGGATCTTGGCTTTCTCAGATGCGTACAAACTGACTACTACGTAAATTCCACTGTCATCTTTGGAAGACTTGAAATATTACCTTGTCTTCCAAAATGTTAGCTTAGAATATTTACTTCTGAGCAGTACAGTGTAGTTTTTGCCAGATTCCAAAGACAATATTTTTGAATGATACTACCATTACACAAAACCCTTTACCGTTTGATGTCATTGTGGATAATGTTAGGCATTAAGTAAAAGCCTGAGATTTCAGTGTGTGGAATCCAATTAAAAAGGTATGATTATGATTAGCTGTCTTCATTCCATATTATTCTTCACCATATTATTAAATATAACAGGAGCCTTCTAAAGTCAACCTTTTCCTGTTCAATAACCAATTATTATAAACTTATCACATTTGAACTGTTCTTCCCTTAACAGTTCTTTCCTAAGAACAATGTTTCTATAACTAAAGTGCTATTTCAATATTATATAGTTCAGCATAGTTTTACATGCAGAGTCATAAAATAAATTTTAAATTTTGCGCTGTTCTGACTAGTGTGATGAAATCTCTTGCCATCTCACTCCATCCCACTCAGGATGTAAATCATCCCTTTGCCCAGCGTATCTACACTGTATATGCTCCCCATCTGTTAGTTGCTTAATAGCCCTCTCAGTTATCCGATCGCTGTCTTGGTATAACAGTGTTGTGTTCAAGTAACCCTTTCCTACTTAATTATGACCCAGAAGTGCAAGAGTACTGATGCTAGCAATTCAGATGTGCCAAAGAGAAGCCAAAAGTGCTTCATTTTCAGTGGTTCTCAACCTTCCTAATGCCACAACCCTTTAATACAGTTCCTCATGTTGTGGTGACCCCCAACCATAAAATTATTTTCGTTGCTACTTCATAACTCTAATTTTGCTACTGTTATGTCTTAGATGACCCCTGTGAAAGGTTTGTCCAAAGGGGTCGTGACCCACAGGTTGAGAATCGCTGCTTTAAGTGGAAAGGTATGTATGTATAGGGAAAAAAAACATACCATTGTATGTACAATATAGGGTTCAGTATTATCCACAGTTTCAGGCATCCATTAGGGGCCTTGGAAGTTATGCTCCATGGGTGGGGGGAAGGAGGGACTACTGTACTTATTTTTTTTTTAACCAAAAGCCATATTCCTCTTTATCTTCCTATGATCAGACAGTTCTTATTCTTCATTGTTGAAACCTGCAGGCTTTTCAACTAATTGAAAATGAAGCCACTTATAACAGTATTGTTTCCAAAGGCTGAAATGTTGCTTCGATTTTATGACCCCAAATGCTAATCCTCAAGTTAATGTGTAGTCTTTCTAAGAACTTCATTCAACAATAATGAGTGCCTATGATATGTGAGGAATGGCTCTAGGTACTTGGGATAGAAAAATGAATCAAATGTGTAGCAGGGGAGATTGGACAGGTTTAGAATAGGCACCATGTTTATTTGAACATCACTGTATATTCAAATAATACTGCATAATGATAATAAAGTCTTTATTGTTTCTTAATCATCATAACTTAGATGAGAGAGCTATGAAACACAGCTTTTGAGCAAGTTTTATGTATGTATAAATTGCAAAAATTAATATTTATAGAGATTTGTATAAACTTTTTATTTTGATATAATTACAGATTGATAGGAGGTTGCAAAAATAGTCTTTTCGATTTCTTGACAGGATTTTTCAGAGTAAAGTTTTAATTTTGATGAAGTTTGATTTATCAATTTTTTTCTTATAGCTTATAGTTTTAATCATAAATGTTTGTTGAAGTTGTCAGATCCCCTTTTATGTGTCAATTGATGTGATCATGTGATTTTTTGTATTTAGCCTGATAATATAGTAAATTATATTGATATTTTAATTTTGATCTAGCCTTGCATACCTAAAATAAACCCATTTCATATGAATACAGTGTATAATTCTTTTTATGTATTACTAAATTCTGTTTACAATTTTATTAAGGATATTTACATTAATATTAATAAGAAATGTTGATCTATGGTGTTTTGTCTTTTGTTTGTACTGTCTGTTTGGTTTTAGTATCAAGGTAATATTGGCATTATATGTTTATTTCATTCATTTCTTTGTAATGTTCTTCCTTCTGCTTGCTTTGGACTTACCTTGCTCTTCCAGTTTCTTGGAAGCTTAGATTATTGATTTGAGACTCTTCTTATTTTCAAGTGGAAGCATGTAGTACTATAAATTTCCTGCTCAGCACTATTTTGACTCTATCTCACAAATTTGAGTATTTAGGGATGTTCACTTAGCATAATATCTTCTAGGTGCATCCATGTTATCCCAAATGGCAGGATTTACTTCCTTCTCATGGCTGAACAATATTCAGATGTGTGTGTGTATGTACCAAATCTTTTCAATAATCTGTCGACACTTAGGTTGTTTCCATATCTTGACTATTGTAATACTATAATGAACTGGAGAGTACATGATATCTTTTAAAGATACTAATTTTGTTTACTTCAGATAAATACCTAAAAGTGAAATTGCTGGATCATATGGTAGTTTTATTTTTAATACTATTCTCCATAATGACTATACCAATTTACATTCCCACCAATAATGTATAGGGGATTCATTTCTCTGTGTTCTCCCCAACACTTATCTCTTGATCAAAGCCATTCTAACAGATATGAGGTGATATATCATTATGGTTTCAATTTTCATTTCCCTGATGATTAGTGATGTTGAACATCTTTTCATATACCTGTTGAGCATTTCTGTGTCTTTTGAAAAAGAATATATATTTTCAAGTCTTCTGCCCATTTTTAATGGGGTTTTTGTTTTGTTTTGTTTTTTCTTGTTTATTGTTATTGAGTTGTTTAAGTTCCTTATATATTTTGGATATTAATCCCTTATCAAATATATGGTTTGCAGATATTTTCTTCCATTGCATAGGTTGCCTTTTTATTTTAATGCTTGTTTTCTTTTCTGTGCAGTTTTCAGATTGCTTTAGCACCACTTGTTTATTTTTGTTTTTGTTGCCCAAGCTTTTGGTGTTGTATCCAAAAACATAATCCCGAGACCAATGTCAAATAGCTTTTTCCTCATGTTTTCTTATAGCAGTTTTACATTTTCAGGTCTTATATTTAAATCTTCAATCAATTCTGAGTTAATATTTGTAAGTGGTATAAAATAATGGTCCAGTTTTATTCTTTTGCTTATGTTTTCCCAGTACCATTTATTGAAGAGACACTCCTTTCTCCATTATGTGTTCTTGATACCCTGGTCAAAAATTAGGTGACCATACATGCATGGGTTTATTTTTGGGTCTTCTGTTCTAGTTCATTGATCTTTGTGTCTGTTTTTATGGCATTACTATTTTGATTACTATAGCTTTGTAATATAGTTTAAAATTAAGAAGTGTAATACCTTCAGTCCTGTTCTTTCTTGCGGTTACTTTGGTTATTTGGGGTCTTTTGTGGTCTATACAAATTTTAGGATTTTTTTTTAACTATGTGAAAAATGCCAACAGAATATTGATAAGAATTGCATTGCATCTGTAAATTGCTTTTCATAGAATGGACATTTTAACAATATTAATTCTCCCAATCTATGAAATTAAGATATCTTTCCTTTTATTTGTGTCTTCCTTGTTTTCTTTCAACAGCTTCAGTTTTAGTATATAGAACTTTCATCTCCTTGGTTAAATTTATTCCTAAAGTATTTTATTGTTTTTGATGCCATTTTAAATGGGATTGTGTTCTTAGTTCATTTTCAGCTAGTTCAGTATTTTTGTATAGAAGTAAGCTGATTTTTGTGTGGTGATATTGCATGCTGCAACTTTAGTGAATTAATATATTAGTTTTAACAGTTTTTGGTGGAGTCTCCAGGGTTTCTATATATAAGATTATGTCATCTACAAATGGAGACAGTTTTACTTTTTCCTTTCCAAAAGGGATACCTTTTGTTTATTAGTCTTGCCTAATTGTTCTGGCTAGTACTTTCAGTATTGTGTTGAAAGAAATGGCAGAGAAGGTGGCAGAGAAGGGACATCCTTGTCTTGTTCCTGATCTTAAAGGAAAAACATTCAGCCTTTTACCATTGAATATGATGTGAACAGTGGGCTTGTCATATGTAGCTCTAGTATATTGAGTTACATTTCTTCTATACCCAATTTCTTGTGTTTTTCATGAAAGAATGTTGAATTTTGCCAAATGTTTTTTCTGCATCTGTTGAGATGATTATATAATTTTTATCTTTCATTCTGTTAATATGGTGGATTCAGTCTGGAGTATTTAGTTGAAAATTTTTGCATCTATATTAATTATGAATATTGGCCTGTATTTTTCTTTTCTTATAGTATCCTTATCTGGCTTTGGTATAAGTTAATACTGGCTTCATAAAATGAATTTGGGAGTGTCTCTTCCTCTTCAATTTGTTGGAAGAATTGTAAAAGGACTGGCATTATTTCTTCTTTAAATATTCGGTAGAACTGACCAGTGAAACCATCTATCTATCCAGTCTTGGATTTTTCTTTCTTAGGAGGTTTTTAGTTACTGATTTAACCTCCTCAGTCATTATTGGTCTGTTCAGATTTTCTTTTTCTTCATGATTCAGTTTGGGTAGGTTGTATGTTACTTGGCTTTTATCATTTCTTCTAGGTTATCCAATTATTTGATGTATAATTGTTCATAGTAGTCTCTCGTGATCCTTTGTGTTTCTGTGAAATCATTTCTGATTTCATTTATTTGAGTCTTCTCTCTTTTTTTTTTTTTTTTTAGTCTTGCTAGAGGTTTGTCAATTTTTTAATAAAATACCCTCTCTTTGATTTTTTTCCCCCTAGTTTCTATGTATTTCATTTATTTCTGCTCTGATTATTGTTATTTTTTCTTTCTGCTAACTTAGAGCATAGTTTGTTCTTTTTCCAGTTTTTTAAAGTTTATAAAGTTAGATTGTTTTTTCAGATTTTTCTTTTTTCTTATTGTAGGCATTTATTGCTTTAAACTTAGGTCTTAGAACTGCTTTTGCTATATTCCATAAGTTTTACTATATTGTGTTTCTATTTTTATTTGTCTCAAGTTTTTTTTTTTTTTCTTTTTCTTTTGATTTATTCTTTGACTCATTGGTTGTTGAGGGGTATATTGTTTAATTTCTACTTATTTATTAATTTTTCAGTTTTTCTCTTGTTACTGATTTCTAGTTTCATACCATTGTGGTTGGAAAAAAAAAAAATACTTGGACTTCAGTCTTCTTAAATTTGTAAGAATTGTTTTGTGACCTAACATGAACTCTCTGGAAAATATTCTGTTTACACCTGAGAAAAATATGTATTTCATTGCTGTTGACTTGAATGCCTATATTTGTCCATTACGTCTATTTGGTTATTAAACTCTTAGTTTTCATCGGGTAATTAATTTACATATTTCGCTTTGTATACCACTGTGCATAGTTAGTTGCAGTTGTAGAATATTTTTTGACAATGATGGAAATGGTAATATCATCTTAATAGTATTTTTACCTCTTCTTGGTTTTATTTCATAAGTAAAGACTACTTTTTATGGATTTAATTTCTAAAAATGAACCAGAGAACATTTCTAAATCACTGAGAGAATGGGTAGTAAGGGTCACATATTTGATGCCAGTGAAAAATTGCCACTGTAACTCCTGGTTAGACTTCATGCCAAGTTCTTCAACTGCTTTCCCTCCTCGGTACGCTGAGGGTGGAGCTAAGTTAACATTGATGGATAGAATTTCTTCAAGTTCTTTTGGGGGAATTTTTCTGTGACCCAGATAAAATATTGATTAGTGAGATGTAGCCCCAGCTTTTTAAATTGTCAGTATGAGAAGTGCCCCCTATGGCTATGTTGGGCAGCGTCAGTTTTAATTAGTTTTACTAGAATTTCCATTTTAGACTCTGGTGACCAAAACACACTTGCTTAGCAATGGATATGGAGAAGCTTTAAGTTTCTAGAGAAGAGATTTAAAGTGTTCCTAAAACAGCTATAATATTGAGTTTTTAAATGATATTCTAACCAACTCAGTCTTCCCCCACTCCTCTATAAAGAAAATTCACATTCTTGTGAAACTGCTTTGTCTTTATACGCATTTAGGATAGCTTGAGTTTTAATTTGAAAATAATTGCAAGGTAATATAGCTAGAAGAGAATGGTCTTTCAAGGATTACCATTCATTTCTTAGGTTCACACGATAAGACATTCTCTAAATGTATTTTTGCAGGTTAAGAACTCAAGCTGTAAGATTTAAGAAAGAACTGGTTGCTGATAAAGAGCTTACTAAACCCCGAGAGCTCAGCCTGGATATGAATGGGAGTGACTCTGGACCAAGGTAAACTTGAGTGGTAGGTCAAGGCAAGGATATGTAGGATACAGATATTAAGGTTGGGTGTATAGTTATAGTCCCATATTGGTGAATACAGTTTTCTGATCATAGGAATAAATATATTCTCATTATAAAATTTTGAAATATATAGAAAAGCGTAAAGAATAAAAATGACTCATATTCTATTCAGAAACAATATTCTGAGACCTTTTTCCATTTTAATCGTTCTTTTATAATAATATATTCTATATTGAGTAATAGAGATTATGCTTATACAGAATTTTATTTTTTGCTTTTTTCACTATATCATATTTTCTGATGTCATTAAATTTTCATAAAAACATAGTTAAGTCACTCAACAAATATTTATTGTGTGACATCTATTATTCATTATTTATCTATAAGCCTATTGTTGGATAATACAGGGTTTTGTTATTATAAATTATGCTTTCAAGACCTTTTTTATAAATAAATTATTTACTTTATCTCTACCTGTTTCCTTGGTATAGATTCCTGTAAGTGGACTGCTAGCTCAAAGTATATATGAATCCTTTTAAGATTCTTGATTCACAATAACCAGTTGCTTTCCATAAAAGTTAAATCAAATTATACTCCAGAGCTATGTTTGATAATTTTTTTCATGAAATTTGAAGAATTTTTGGTCATGATATTTTCAAATATATAATGTATACATTTTCTATTCTCTTTCTCCTATCCTTTGAAACTACATTTACTTGTATAGTAGACCTTTATATATTTTACTACAGGTCCCTGGCTCTCTGCTAACTTTTTAAATGTTTTCTTTATTGTTTTATATTGAATAATTTATATTGATCTCTCCTCAAGTTTATCAACTCTCATGTTATATAAAGTGTTTTGTTTTTAATTTCAGACACTGGGTTTTCAAGTTTAGAATTTTTATTTGGATCCTTATTATAATTTCTATTTCTCTGCTGAAATTTCCTATTTTATTCATTACACACATATTTTTAAAAAATATTTGTTTGCTACTTCTAGCATCTGGGTCACCTGGGGGGGGGGGTTTGTCTCCATTAATCAACATTTCTCTTGAGTATTGGTCATGTTTTTTGTTTCTTTGCATGTTTAGTAATTTCAGATTGTTTGCAATGACTCTAGTATTCAGTTATATATTTTTTTAAACAATTTTAATTGTGCTAGCAGCCAGCTAACTTGTCTGAACTCTTATTTCAAACTACTTCCCTTTAATAAGTGACAATGAATTATTTAATGTTACTTGAGATGCTTGAACCTGTCCTGTTCATGTGTCGTTCAAGGGTTAACCAGAACTGGCAGGGCTGTTACATAAAATTTGAATCTTTTACTCTTTCTCTCTCTTGCCTGAAATTTTTCTTACTCATCATCCTTCTTTTCTGGGTTATATTCCTTTTTTATTGGGTCACATGTTATCTTCTTTTTGGTTTTTACTCATCTTCCAGAAACATGTCCTTCAATAACTTACTGAGAAGGAGTACAGAGGCAATAATTTTTTAAGACCTCATACTTCTGAAAAATGTCTTACTTCTGTCTTCACATTTAATGTATAGGTTAGCTGGATATAGAATTCTTGGTTGTTATTGCTTTTTTCTTCAGAAGAGATTAAAGGTTGGGTTTCGTTACCTTCTAGTTTTTGTTGCCATTAGAAGTTTGGTGTAGCCCTGGCCAATGTGCTTTAGTTGGTAGGAGCCATCATTCCATGTACCAAGGGTTTGCAGGTTTGCAGTTTGGATTCCCAGTCCAGGAGTGTGCAGGAAGGAGCTGATTGATGTCTGTGTCTCTGTCTCTGTCTCTGTCTCTGTCTCTGTCTCTCTCTCTCGAATCAATAAGAACATATCATGATGATTACGAAAAAAAAAAAAGAAGTTTGGTGTAGCTTGATTCCTTATGTTTTTTTGTTTTTTTTTTTTCTTTGATTTTTAGAGATAGAGGAAGGGGAGAAGGAGAGAGAGATAGAAACATTGATTGGCCGCCTCCTGCATGCACCCCTGCCAGGGATTGGACCAGGTTGTGGAACCTGGGCATGTGCCCTGACCAGGAATTGAACCAGCGACTTCTTGGTGCATGGGTGTTGACGATCAACCACTGAGCCCAACCGGCCGGGTCTTCTTATCTTTTTTATATGACCTGTTCTCTATGGACACTATTAGAATCTTGTCTTTTGCTGCATTGTTGTAAAAATCAATGCCAATATGCATTCGTTGGACCTTTTCTTATATTTATACTGAGTAATCATTGGATTTTTTAAATTTATGCTTTTTTACTGATTTTTAGAGAGAGAGGAACATTGATTTGAGAAACATTGTTGTATCCCGTATAAGCCCTGACTAGAGATCAAACCCGCAACCTAGGTATGTGCCCTGACTGGGAATCAAATCCACAACCTTCTGGTGTGAGGGACGATGCCCAACCTGGCCAGGGCATCAATGGATTATTTCCATTGGGAAACTTCATTTAGTTTGCAAATATTTCTGTCAGTTTCCTTCATTCCTTCATTTAAATTTAATTTAAGTTTTTTTCCATCACCAATTATCCTCTATACCCTCTTCCACCTTCACCAGCCTCCTCACCCCACAATCAGCACACTGTTGTCCACGTCCATGAGTTCTTCCATTTTTTTCCTTTGTTGCTCAATCCCCATGCTATTTTTATATTATTTCCTTTCAGAAGTCTATTAGTCAGATGTCGAATCTCTTGGAATCATCTCTCATTTTTTTATTTTTCTATCCTATCTTTCATATTTGTTCCTTTTATTTTAGTTTCTAAAAGATTTTCTGAACTTCATTTTTCAACGCTTCTGTTTGATTTTTTACTTCTGTAATTTCCCAAAACACATTATTCTCTAAATGTTCATTTTTCATATAAGAACCTGTACTTGTTTTATGTGTACAATATTTTTTCTTATCTCTGATGATATTAATAATGGATTTTGAAGTTTCTTTTCTCCTGGTACATTATCTCTACTTTCACAAATTCCAGTTTTGTTTTGTTTTTTCACAAATGTCTTATTATCCACTTATATTTACAAACAAAGAAGTTAAAAGTTTTTAAAAGCTTTCAGTACAGATGAGCAGGACTTGTCAACTGATCAGCTTCACTTTGGGATGATCAGGTAGGAGCCCTGCTAATCCACTGTCAATATCTGTAGGCCTTTTCTCTTGGAGCGGTCGGTTTCCTGAGGGCTGGACCTTCTGCCTGGCTGGGAAGAAGGGATGGTGCACTGTATACGCTTTGCTGCCAATGTGGGGAGCTGAGAGGAGGAAGAGGAACAGGAATAACTGTGTGCTCATTATGTAGGCTTTCACTTAGTGTCCCTTTTAACTGTGTGGTATTTCTGGCTTCAAGACAGGAGTCATTCTGGTGCAGCCTTTCCAGGGAGTAGACCTCCAATCTTCACAAGATGGGGAGAGATACTTAACTGGCTCTGGAGACAGAGGAGGGCATCTTGGATTTTTACTGTTACACGCAGACTTTCAACCAGCCATGCTTATAGTCCCACTTGAATTCTTACCTGGTTTCTCCAATCCCCGAGCTTCTGACATGTTTCAGCTTAACCCCTCTTATCTGTTCTCGTCAGCAAATATTCGGTTTGATTTTTCTTCTTGACTCACTGAGTTTGAACTTGTACTGCTTTTTAGGCTTCTAAAGTTTTGTAACATGTCTTGTTTATTGTCATTTCCTCTTCATTTTTTTTGCTACCACATAATTTTATGGGTTTTTTTTTTTTTCTATTTTTACTATAATTTTTAGAGATTTTAGAAGGGAATAGAGATGTATTTTCAATTAGCCATGTAAACTGGCTCTTCAGGGTTGATTTTTATAAACAATATTTGTCAGTTTAATAGGTGAAAAAATAGAATGCTATTGTAACTTGCAGTTATTCAATACTCATTTAGGATAAATCTTTTCTATATATTATTAACCCTTTGTTTTTCTATCTTGAATTTTCATTTTCTGACTATATCCACATTTTTTTTATGTAGGGACATTATATGTCTTGTTTAGTTGATATGTAAGAACTTTTTATGTTATTTGTTTATAACTTAAATAATTTTTTCTTATTAATTATATTCATATTTAGCTATACATTTATATACTTGCTAGGAAAAAATATATATAAAATACCTACTAGCCAAAAGAAGAAAATAACACATACCCATGATTGCATCATTAAAGATAATCTTAGTATATGACTTCTAGATCTTATTGCATTATAAATATGAGATGGGTTTTGATATTATACATTTCGTTTTATATTCCACTTTACTTTTCATCAGACTTTGCTAAATTGCAAAAGAAAAAACATTTTATTGTACAAAGTAAAACGTCCAAAGACACATCAAGAGATGATCTGTCATCCTTCATTGCCCATCTCCCTATTCTGGCTGTCTTGGTTGAACTAGTGTTAGCATCCGATGTGTATCCTTCTATACCTTTCTTTATGCTGCCATATGTATATAGCATCTATCAATATTTGAGACCAAACTGAACACATTACTTGATCATTTTCCCCCCACTTAACAGTGGTCATCTATCAGATTTTTAGATGTAGTACTACTATGGTAAGCGGAATAATTTCCCCAAAGATGTCTGTGCCCTAATCCCTGGAACCTCTCAGTATGTTACTTTACATGGTAAAGAGACTGTGCAGAAATGATCAAGGGAATAGACCCCGAAATGGGAGATTATCCTGGATTATCTGGGTGGTTCTAGTCTAATAACATGAGTCCTGAAAACTGGAGAACTTTACCTTGCCGGGTCAGAGAGATGAGATGGAAGGAGGAAGAAAGATTCCAAGTGTGAGAATGACTCAATTTGCCATCGCTGGCATTGAAGATGGAAGGAGATCACTAGCCGAGGAATGCAGGTAGCCTTAGAAGCTCAGAACAGTCGTCAGCTGGCAGCCAGCAAGGAAATGGGGCCCGCAGATGTCCAATAGCAAAGAACTGAACTCTGCCAATAACCTGAATGAGCAGGGAAACATCATCATC